AGTTTGCTATATGTATCCTCCTTACTGCTAGTGAAAACCCTCTTTGCCTAAACTTTCTCTTGCCTAGCTAGGGATTTCCTAGCTATGGCTCCTAAGCTCTTAACTACTTATTTCACATGCTATCAGAGCAGGTCGATCCTGTGGGTGGGCCCGCCACCTAACTGCTTCCGCTGCTGTTCTGCTTCTAGCGCGCCTAGGGCTAATTTTTAGGGTTTTTCATCCCGCCGTGCGCTCGGGGCGCGCGGCGGTTTTCTGCCCGCCGTGCGCCCCGAGGCGCGCGGCGGTTTTGTGCCCTGGGGAGCCTGCGCGCGCCCCGCCTGTCCGTCGTGGCGACCTGGGGAGCACGCGCGGCCCCCCGCCCAGCTCATCGCGGCGCTCTAGGGCGCACGCGCGGCCCCGCCCTGCTCGTCGTGACGCCCTGGGGAGCCGCATGCGCCCCCTGCCTGTCCGTCGCGGCGCCCTGGGGAGCCGCGCCCGCCCCCTGCCCGTTCGTTGCGGCGCCCTGGGGAGTCGCGCCCGCCCCCTGCCCATCTGTCGCAGCGCCCTGGGGAGCCGTGCGCGCCAAGCCCCCGCCCCGCCCGTCCGTTTTGGCGCCCTGGGGGTCGTGCGCCGTCCCTCCCCCCGCCGTCCCCCGCGCTCTTGCCCCTATCCCACCCGTTTTAGGGTTTTGGGGGTGAGGGGTGTGGGGGTGGTGGTTGTGGGGGTGTCGGTTGTGCGCGCCTAAACTTTCTCTTGCCTAGCTAGGGCTTTCCTAGCTATGGCTCCTAAGCTCTTAACTACTTATTTCACAGCGAGCACAGAGAAAAATGGCGCGAGGCCATGGACAGGGAGTTTAAGGCACTTGAAAAACGCAACACCTGGAAGATCGTACCTATCAGCGTGGGCACGGAACAAGACCATTCTCACTGGCGAATGGGTTTTTCGGGTGAAAACAAAGGCAGACGGAACCATCGACAAATTCAAGGCACACAGGGTCGTACGTGGCTTTGACCAAGAGCACGGACGAGACTTCACCGGAACATTCGCACCTGTTAGTCGGCACACCTCACTGCGGATTCTCCTCGCGATAGCCGCCATGAAGCGGAAAAGGCTTCGTCAAATCGACGTCGCTAACGCCTTTCTTTACGCACCCGTCGATGCCGAAATCTTTGTCGAGTAATTGTACGGCTCCAATGCAGATCCCAACCAAGTCTGTCAGCTACTGAAGTCCTTGTACGCCATCAAACAAGCCCTGAGACTGTGGCAGCAGTATCTATACGCGCGGCTAATCCGCATCAAATTCCGACAACTACCGCACGATCAAGAAATGTTACCGGCTCACGAAAGGAACTGTCTACATCCTGCTAATAGTCTACGTGGATGATCTACTTTACATTGGCTCGACCGACGGCGTCACAACCTGGTTCGAAGGGGAGCTGCAGCGGGACTAAACGCTCACTGTCTCAAAATACGCGTCACCAGCAGTTCGAGTACTGCATGCTGCTGACTGGACAAAGCCACGTCACCAGCAGCGACACTCCAGAAGCAAAGGGGGGTGTTGGAAACAAGTAACTTGACAATTCTGATGTGTCGGAACATCAATCTGTAAACGAAGCAACTAGCAACGAAGCAACGCGAATCAACCATTGGAGGTTGACAAACTGCTGGAGGTTACGTGAAGGTCAAAGGTCAGCGACCTTTGACTTGACAAATACAGCGCGACAGCAAGGACAAACAATTGACTCGATGCTGAGCAGTTGCCCGAGCCGTCACTGAATCGAACCACAACAACAACAGTAAAACAGTTATTAGTTGCACCCTTTCATATTCCTTATAATCTTATAAATAGCTTGTATGACTTTTTATCAAGAATGAAATTGTTGGTTCATTGATGAGGGTTAGGGTACATATAACAAACCCTAACATCTGTACCCCCTAAGACAAACCTCACTACAGGCTACAACATTTGACACACCCCCATAGCCTAAGTGAGGGGTGTCAAGCAAAACCAAAAGTGTACGGTCACAAGACCAGTCACAGAGAAACAAAGCTCAGGGTGGATCACAACGTCGCCACATACTCTGAGCACAAGCAACAGGGGCCACAAGGCCAGTTCAAGAGTTCACAAGTGTGTATAGCAAGAGTACAAGCAAAGCAAACAGCAGACTCAAGCCTATACACGACAAGAAACGGTGTCAACAAGGCCTAACTGCACACAACACCTCTCGTGGTCACAAGGCGGAAGCGCCTTGGTGAAGATGTCTGCAGTGTTGGCCTCGGACTCCACAAACTCAAAGCGAGCCTGTCCACGTCTCTGCAACTCTCGCAGAAGAAAGTACATGCCGTTAATGTGCTTCACTCTGCTCTCCAGTCGCGGCTCTCGACAAAGGAGAATCGACGCCTTGTTGTTAGTGAACAAGGTTGGTGCAGAGCTCGGCCGCTCACCAAGGTCGGCAAGTAAGACCAACGCAGCTCTTGTGCCGCCATGGCACCAGCGTAGATCTCAGCCTCAGCTGTAGAGGACAAGACCAAAGAGGAGCGCGTGGACCGCCACGAAACAGCTCCAGAAACCAAGCTGAAATAGTACCCCTGAGTAGACCTATGAGTCTTAGCGTCGTCAACGTAAGAAGAGTCGCAGTGACCAGTAAGTACGACAGGCTGCTGCCCTCCAAGAACTAGCCCCATGCCTGATGTCATCGCTAGGTACTTTGCCACCCTCACAGCTGCCGTCCAGTGAACAGGACGGTGTCTCCCTGGCGTAACAAAGCGAGTAAGGATGCTGAGAGGGAAGGCGAGGTCCGGGCGAGTGCAAGTCATCAGGTACATGAGGCAGCCCACCAGCTCTACGTAGGGACCACAAGACTCAAACGGCTCGTCAGGAAAGGGTCCAGTAAGTCTGTGGTCAACAGCACGAGGTGTGCGCTGTACTGTGGAGTGCTGAAGCTCGAACCGCTGAAGGACATGTTGCACCATGTGTGACTGTGAGAGTGTAATGGTGCGAGCGGCTCTGCCCCTGGTGATCTGCAGGCCAAGGTAGTGGCGCAGCTCACCAAGGTCAGTGCACGTGTGTCTCTTCTGCAGTTCGGACTTCCCGTCTGCCAAGGCAACTCTGTCAGCAGTGGTGAAAACCAGGTCGTCGACGTAGACCAGAACAAAGAACGGTGTGGAGCCACGACGAACGAACAGCGACGGGTCGGCAGAAGACGGCTGGAACCCAAGGTCAGAGAGGGTAGAACGAAAAGTGTCGTGCCACTCACGAGGAGCCTGACAAAGACCGTAAATAGGTCGCCTCAGCCTCCACTGGGTCCTAGGAGGGAAAGCGTCAGTGAAGGCAGAGGGACGACGCAACCAGACCTCCTCGTGTAAGCTACCCTGAAGGAAAGCAGTGGAGAAGTCGAGAGAGTGTAACTCGTAGTCTCTTTGTGCTGCTACGTGCAGTAACACCCGAAGAGTGGTCATCTTTGGGGTAGGCACGAAGGTATGAAAGAAGTCAACTCCCTCATGGTGACTAAAACCTCTAGCCACGTAGCGCGCCTTGAAGACCGGAGGAGATCCCGGTGGCCGCTTCACCTTGTAGATCCACATGCCATCGAATACGTTCGCCCCAGGGGGGGGAACCTCGTCGACGTAGGTGCCTGTGGATCTGTAGGAGACCATCTCAGCATCCATGGCAGCTCTCCACTGAGAGGCCCAAGGCCCTGACACTGCCTCAGCGTAAGTGCGGGGATTCGGTATGTCAAGGGCGTCGGGGTCTCCCTCAGGGGCGAGCAGCATGGCACAAAGATGTGGGGAAGCGGCTGCCAGGAACTCTAGCTCAAACTGCCTGTCCTCTAGGACGTCACAGCCAAGGGCAGACTCACCCCCGACGGCCAGAGGACTGGTAGGAGGAGCAGCCACAAGACCGGTGGCGTAGTCAAGGCGGCGTGTGGAGGCAAACTCAGTGACTGCGGCAGTAAGGGCGGAGACAGAGGAGACAGAGGCACGAGGGTCGGTAATAAGAGAGGCGAGAACACGAGAGAGAACAGGACGGTACATGCGGTAGTAGTCAGTGACAAGAGTAGAGAGAGAAGCAGTGAAGGCCGACTCAGGAGGAGGCGGAAGGAGAGACGGAGACGAACGAGGCGGACTAGAACGAAAGGGGGCAGTACAAAGTTCGGTAACGAGAACAGGAGACGAGGGACGAGCACGAGGGGAGCGACGAGAGGCCCAAGTCTGAGAAGGAGGAGGGGACAACGGAGGCTGAGAACGAGGGAAAACAGCCGGGGAGGGGTCAGGAGGAGGAAGCGGAGGACTCGAGACGGGAGGAGAGGGGGAGGAGGAAGGAGAGTGAGAGGGGAGACCGAGGGCCCGAAGACCAGAGACAGGAGGAGGAGGCGGCAGCTGCTGCTGCTGGTGCTGTGGCGGATGCTGCTCCTCCTGCTGCTGCAGGGGCTCCAGCGGCTGCGCCTCCTGCTGCTGCGGCGGCTCCAGCTTCGGCTGCTCCTGTTGCTACTGCTGCTCCTCAAGCCGCTTCAACTCCCTCTCCTCTCTCTCTTGTGAAGAAATTGAGGAATGAAGAAGAGAGAGGGGTTCACTAGCAAACATTGGGATACATATAGCAAACCCTAAAAGGGTTGTACTCACTAAAGAGTACCCCACTGCAGGCTAGAGATACATAATATTCTGACATCTCCAACTCCAGGTGCTCCTCACGGGCACGGCGAACACGATCCTAGTGCCAGGTCGGGTAGGGGTGGGGGGGAGGAGTAGTGTAGGGGGTTGCGGCAGCCCCGGGACCGCCCTCCAGAGCACCTGGCGCACCACCCCCAGAGTCACGACCACCAGCAGCAACACGACCAGGCTCACCTGTTCCCGAAGTGGGTGCACCCGCACCCCCAGACGTAGCACCCCCAAAGTCAGCAGGACCAACACCAGCTCCCGGAAGACAAGAGTCTCCTGCAACCACGGGCTCAACTCCAACTCCAGCACCCCCAGAGCTAGCACCTGTAGGGCCCTCTCCATGAGCACCGGCTCCCGCAGGGTCAGCCGCGGGCTGCGAGGAGGACTGCGGGGAAGGAGGCAGCACCTGAGGGGCTACCGAGGGGGGAGGGGTAGCCTGGGACACACCTGACGGGGCGGGACCAGGGGGGGAGGCTATACCGGGGGAGCAGGAGGGGGAGCAGAAGTCAAGAAGAGAGGGGGAGGAGGAACCGGGAGACCTCGACTGGGGTACCTGACGTAGTAGGGGGTGGACTCCTCGAAACGGACGTCACGGGAGTCAAAGAACCGGTGAGAGGGAGGGTGGTAAAAGGTGAAGTCAGAGGAGTCCTCAGGGAAACCAAGGAAGACATAGGGAACGGCGCGAGGCGAGAGCTTGTCCGCGGAAGTGTCGTGGACAAGAGCCAAGCAACCCTAGACACGAAACCTCGACGCAACACCAGGGAACCCGGTCCAAAGACTAGTCGGTGAAGCCTTTGGCCGAGAGACGCGTGGCCAGAGGTTCAGCTGGTGAGCGGCGTACCTAACCGCATAAGGCCACAGAAAATGGGGGGCACGGCGTGAGTCAAGGAGGTGTGGGCAATCTCCATGACCAAGCCTATGCGGCGCTCAGCAACCCCATTCTGTTGTGGGGACTCTGGAAGCGTCCAAGACTGACGAATGCCCTGTTCACGACAGAATCCAGCGAGAATGCCGGAGCGAAACTCACCCCCACGGTCAGAGTGAAGACAGTTGATACGATGACGAGGAGTGCCCTCAGTGGTAAGCAACCACCTGATCAGCCTAGAAGTCACCTCAGACTTCTTTGCCAGGGGGAACACTATGGTGTAGCGGGAGTAGTCGTCAACGATCACTAAAAAGAAACGCTCGTGCTCAGGGCCAAGGCGAGGGGCGGGGCCACAAACGTCCAAGTGGAGCGTCTCAAAAGGCTTGGTGGCCGGAGGAAGGGAGGAGGAGTGAGGGGTGGCGCGCAGCCGACCCTCGACGCAGGGACCGCACGGCGGTGCAAGCAAAGGCGGCAGCGACGGCAAGACACGCGGGAGGCCTAAGGCAAGACGCTGACGAGACATAGCGCGCAGACGAGGGAGGGACGGGTGCCCCGTCCGGTGGTGCCACAGAACGGTGGGGTGTGCAAGCGACCGGCAGGAGCACGATGCAACAACTGGACCAGACACGGGAACCTGACCAGACCCAGCTACCTGGGGGGACGAAGCAACCTGGTGAGACGTAGGGACCAGACTGGGGGAAGCAACCGGGGCCGGGGGCAGGAGTCGCTGCTGCTGCTGCTGCCGCTGCTGCTGCTGCCGCCGCTGCTGCTGCTGCTGCTGCTGCTCCTGCTGCTGCCCACCAGGGCCGATGTGAAGTGTGTAGAGACCAGAGCCCGGCTCGGCAGTAAAGGTGGCAAGAGGCGAGTAAGTGTTGCCGTCAGCACAAACCGCCGTCTCACCAGAGGGCTCAATCCACACACCCACGTGCTGACTCACAAGAGGCCTCATGCCCACCAAGTTCCTCGAGAACGAGGGGACGTGGAAGCCAGTCAGAGACCCAGAGGGAACAGCAGGGCAGGGAAAAGTAGTAGTGTAGCGAGCAGTGACTAACCCCAAGGTGGGATCAGCCAGGGCCACAAAGACTGGCGCAGGAAGTGGAGTAAGTGTCGTGTGGTCGCGGAAGAAGCAGTGCGAAGCCCCAGAGTCCAGAGTGAAAGACAGCGAAGCGTCCTCCAAAGTAGTGCTTGGACTAGTGTCTACACAAGTGCCTACACTAGCAATAGGCAACTCAGCAAGACTAGCACCTAAGCTAACAATACGCGAGTAAACGGAGTCAGAAGCACTAGAGTCAACAATAGCATACATAGCATGAGGAGTTCCTAAGAGATCAAGCAACTGAGAAGCAGACATGCCCCAAATAGTGGAGCCGTACGTCTGAACAAGAGGTAGCCAGTCAGGGGCAGGGCCGCCAACGCCGAAGGCCAAGCGAACCGTGTCAGTGAGCTGAGCAAAGCACTGACCAGGAGGGTGGGTGCGGCCACAAGGCTGGCCTCGGCGAGCACCTGTTAGAAGCTAATAGGTGCACGAAGGGTGAACAACACCTCGCTGAGGCCGACGCTGTCCTGGCCCTGAAACCTGCTGTTGCCGCTGCTGCTGCGGGGGCTGCTGCATGGGGAGGGGCTGCAGCTGCTGCTGCTGCTGCTACTACTGCTGCCGCTGGGCCAGGTACCACGCCGCTGCTCCACCCACCGCGGTCGGCAGACCAGAAGGTGGCTGACGAGCCCGGGCGTCGCCTCCACTAGCTACAGTAGCAGAGTCACCGGCCGCTGCACGCGACGCCTCTCCTGGTCCTGCACTCCCGTCGCCACCAGTCGGCACGCCACCCCCACCACCTCCGCCGCCAACGCCTCCACCGTTGCCGCCACCTGTACCCTGACCGCCCCTCTTGCCACGTCTACCTCGAGACCGCGAAGAAGTCGTAACAGCAGCTGCGGTCACGTCAGTAGCAGCAGTGGCGAGAGAGGCTGTAAAGGTGGGCAGCTGAGGGACAGTGCACCCGTGGAACAGTGGAGGGGGCACAGCACCAGAGGCGGAGGCTACGGAGCAGAGGTTGCTCTCGACGTCCTTGAGCGCAGACGCTAGGACCTCGATAGTGAGCTCACTAGGGTGCTTCAGAAGAAGCGTGTCACGGACTGAGGCAAGGCGGTCAGGTAGGCTAGTGGCAATGAAATAGATAGTAATTTCCATGGGGGAGGGAGCAGTGCAAGCTGTGCCTCAGTGCAAGCAGCGCGGTAGCTAGAATCAAGCGAGCGGAGGTGAGCAATTAAGTCAGCAGAGCACTCAAACGAGGCGAGGTCAGGGAACAAGAACGGTAGGAAGAGTCGGCCAAGAGAGACAGTGGTGGGAGTAGCGTAGCGGGCCTTAATCGCAGTCAGGAACTCACTAGCAGTGCGAACTTGAGTAAAGTGGGCCTCCTCGAACGGTAGGCGCCCCGCGTTTCCTCGAACGACAAAAAGCAGGGCGCCGCGGCGACGAAACGGAGGGCGCCGCGGCGACGAAACGCGGGGCGCCGCGGCGACGAAACGCGGGGCGCCGCAGCGACGAAACGCGGAGCCCCGCGGCTAAGAAATGCGGGCGCCGCGGTGACGAAACGGGGGGCGCCTCGGCGACGAAACGAGGGGCGCCGCGGCGACAAAACACGGGCGTTTAGGGCAGCGGGGGGAGGACGCAACGCGACGAGCAGCGGGGGAGGGCGTGATGGGACGAGAAGCCGGGGAGAGCGCGACGCGACGAGTAGGGGGGGGAAGGCGCTACGCTACGCGGAAAGCGGGTCGGCGGAGCGAGCGCTAACGAACGAGCGAGACTGGATCAGGCCGGCGCTAACGAACGAGCGAGACTGGATCGGGCCGGCGCTAACGAACGAGCGAGACTGGATCGGGCCGGCGCTAACGAACGAGCGAGACGGGTACGACTAGTACGGGAGAGCGAGACAGGCTCGGGGGGAACGAACGAGGACGAGAGGTGCGGGATCCCACAGGATCCTAACCTAGGTGATACCATGTCAAGAACGAAATTGTTGGTTCATTGATGAGGGTTGGGTAACATATAACAAATCCTAACATCTGTACCCCCTAAGACAAACCTCACTACCGGCTACAACATTTGTCACTTTTCTATAATTAATCTATCTTGCCCTCACACACTTGAGCAAGGTGGTTCAAACATTTGTCATTAAAACGCTTCCGCAACTATAACATTTCTACTCAGAGTTTAGCCTTGGAAAGGATCCCAAGGACTTTTCTCAGCCCAACATAGAGGAGCCAGTTGTTGAGCTGTAGTTTGTCATATGTCAGAATCTGAGTCAGATAGTTGAAATGTTTCTTCACTGTGGTATTAAAAATCACCTGCCTTTAAATTGAGTGTAACTCTGAACATTCAGCATAAAAAACCAAGTGTTGTCTGAATTTCCAGCCTCAACATAGGGGGCAACTCTGACTGGCAGAGTTCAGATAAGGGTGCACGCTGACCCATCAGAGTGTCCCAAAACGAATCTAGGGCCTGCTCTGAGTACGAGGAGCAACAGCAAAGGGAAGAGGATAACACTGTTAATATCAGGAGGCCTGTTGATGGTTTGAGTGCACGCTGTGTTCACGGTCTTGAGAGTGAAACGTAGTGCAGTAAACGCCACTGTGTTGCCGGGCTCTGAGTAGGAGCAGCAGCAAAGGGAGGAGGATAACACCATATGCAGTAGCAGCAGTGAAGGTATAGAGCAAAGGGACAATTAAAAGGGGAATAGCGAGGCAACGATCGTTCCTTTTGACGTCTGCTCGTGATACGCGTATGATGGGAGCTAAACAGGAAACAGCTTTTGAGGTGCCTAAAAAGAGACTCACCAGATCATCAAGGTCTATGCTTAACTCTGAGTCCCTTATTCGCCGCGCCCCCCGCGCTGCTCTCACAGCTGCTCCACCAGCTGCTCTTGTTGCTCGTTCACCTATGCCCGATTGACCACCCCTCCCACACTCCTCCCCTTGCCCACCCCTTGCTGCTGCTCTGTCTCCTGCGCCTATTGCTCCTCCTGCTCCTGCTTTCGCTGCTGCTTCTGCTTCTGCTGCTGCAGATGCTGCTCCTGCTGTTCCTCGTGCTCCTGCTCCCGCTCCTCCTATGACTCCCAAGTCTGCTTCCTCCTGTTCAGCCTTCCTCAGATTGCCAGCTTCCGAAGCACCACCCATCGTGCTACCAATCAAGCCCTCATCCACCATCCCCCCATGAACAGTGCCACAGCCATGGTTGCTACCTCTTCCATGAACAGCAGCGCGGTCATGATCAGTAACTTTGCCATCTGCCACATCCGCACACATCCTCTCCTCTAGCTCACCCTTACACTCTACATCACCTTTCTCCCCTAACTTAAAAACGCCTTGTGGTTGCTCAGGTATAATCTCCCTCTCTCCCCCTTTCTCCTCTCCCTTTTTATCCTCTCCCCCTGTCTCCTCTCCCCCCTTATCCTGTGTGCCCCTTCCCTCTCCCCCTTTCTCCTCCCCATCCTTCTCTGCACCCTCTCTTCCCCTCGTCTCCTCTTCCCTCGCTCCCGCCCTTTCTTCCCTCTCCCTCTCATCCTTCTCCCTCTCATCCCTCTCCCGCTCCTCCCTCTCCCTCTCCCGCTCCTCCCTCTCCCTCTCCTCCCGTTCCTCCTGCTCCTCAATAATCTCTAGCAGCCTCGCCATGGCGTTGGGCTTCAACCGCCGCATGCCCCTGCCCAGCCGCCTTACCTCCTCTGGTGTCATGGGACTGGACGGTAACAGGGAGTGGGACACAGGAAAGAGAGGGAGTGAAAGGGAGTGAAAGGGAGTGAGGAAGGGAGGAAGCGAGAGGGCTCCTCAATGATCTCCAGCAGCCTCGCCATTGCGTTGGGCTTTAACCGCCGCATGCCCCTGCCCAAGCGCCTTACTTCCTCGGGATCATGGGACTGGAGGAGGGGTAAGTGGAAGGAAGGGAGGAATCAAGAGGGCTCCTCAACAATCTCTAGCACCCTCGCCATTGCGTTGCACTTCAGCCTTCCCATGGCTTACCAGCAGAGCGGGCGATGGAGTCTATGAGCTGCAGCAACTGCTCATCCACGTGTGATGGGATGTGGGAAGCAGCAGCAAGGGGCATCATTCTAGTGGGAATAGTCTCATTACCCCACTCTCACCGGCAGAGTGGGCCTCACCGGCAGAGCGGGGAGATGGAGTGTATGAGCTGAAGCAACTGCTCATCCACGTGTGATGGGATGTGTTGAGAGTGGGGAGAGGCGGCAATCTAGTTAGAAAAGTCACCTTAAGTCTCACACTCTCGCTGGCAGGAAAGCTTTTGAGTCGACTCAAGAGTCACCTTAAGTCTCACACTCTCGCTGGCAGGAACGCTGTCAAGAAGGCACATCGCTTGGCTTGGCTTACCGGCAGAGCGGGGCGATGGAGTGAATGAGCTGCACCAACTGCTCATCCACGTGAGATGTGTGACAAACCAGAGAGGGGCAGTGAACCGCCTTGCACCTAGAGAGAGCGGCACCTAGAGAGAGCGGCACCTAGAGAGAGCGGCACCTGGAGAGAGCGGCACCTAGAGAGAGCGGCACCTAGAGAGAGCGGCACCTAGAGAGAGCGCACCCCCCCCCCCTCATCTCACATGCAGTGAAGACAGTAGGGCAACCTGACTTGGCTGGGAGTGTTTTTTGAGAATTCTCAAAAAGCACTCCCCTCCCTCATCTCACATGCAGTGCAGACAGTAAGGCAACCTGGCTTGGCTGGCTTACCAGCAGAGCGGGCCGATGGAGTCTCGCAGCTCAAGCAGCCTTGCACCTAGGGAGAGCGGCTCACTCACCTCCTCCATCTCGCCAGAAAACGGTGGGGCAACTTGGCTTACCGGCAGAGTGGGGCGATGGAGTCTCGCAGCTCAAGCAGCTGCTGATCTGATCCACATGGGATGGGATGTCTGAAAGCCCATGATTGTCCCACTCTCACCAGCAGAACAGCAGTCAAGGAGGCACATCAGCATGCTTACCGGCAGAGCGGGGCGATGGAGTCTCGCAGCTCAAGCAGCTGCTGATCCACATGGGATGTCTGAAACAGCAGAGAGGGGGGACAGAGGGGATGGGATACGAGGGTTGGGCTGATGTGAGAGGGAGGGGGGGTGGATGGACGGCTGGTGTGAGAGGGAGGGGGGGTGGATGGACGGCTGGTGTGAGAGGGAGGGGGGGTGGATGGACGGCTGGTGTGAGAGGGAGGGAGGAGGGATGCTTGCCACTAGCTTCACCTCGCCTGCTTGTTCCTCCCTCTCTCTCCCTCTCTCTCCCTCTCTCTCCCTCTCTCTCCCTCTCTCTCCCTCTCTCTCCCTCTCTCTCCCTCTCTCTCCCTCTCTCTCCCTCTCTCTCCCTCTCTCCCCCCCTCCTCCTCTCCCCTTCCCTTTCACCTCTGCTGCTATCTGCCTCCCACTTCACTCCAGCCACCCCGCTTAGCCCCTACTCTTGTGACTTGCCTGCTCCCTCTCTTCCTCCCACCTCTCCTCACCTCTGCTGCTATCCGCCTTGCACGGCCGTCCATTGCTCACTCTTCTGCCTGCCCCTTCACTCCACCCTCACATCAACCGCAGTGACTGGAGCTCCCACTCACCTCTTCGCCCTCTTCCTTCAGCCCCACTCACCTCTTCGCCCTCTTCCTTCAGCTCCCACTCACCTCTTCGCCCTCTTCCTTCAGCTCCACTCACCTCTTCGCCCTCTTCCTTCTGCTCCCACTCACCTCTTCGCCCTCTTCCTTCAGCTCCCACTCACCTCTTCGCCCTCTTCCTTCAGCTCCCACTCACCTCTTCGCCCTCTTCCTTCAGCTCCCACTCACCTCTTCGCCCTCTTCCTTCAGCTCCCACTCACCTCTTCGCCCTCTTCCTTCAGCTCCCACTCACCTCTTCGCCCTCTTCCTTCAGCTCCCACTCACCTCTTCGCCCTCTTCCTTCAGCTCCACTCACCTCTTCGCCCTCTTCCTTCAGCTCCCACTCACCTCTTCGCCCTCTTCCTTCAGCTCCCACTCACCTCTTCGCCCTCTTCCTTCAGCTCCTCTCACCTCGGCTACTATATGACTTGCACGGCCGTCCATCGCTGCTTTCTCTGCCTCTGCCTTCACCTGACTCTCAAACCAGCCCCAATGATCGGAGCGCCCACCTCTCCCCTCTTCTCCCTTCACCTCAGCTCAACTCCGCTGCTATCTGAGTCGCACAGCTATCCATCCATGGCACAGCTATCCATCCATGGCACAGCCATCCGTCCATTGCTGCCCCCTCCACACCCCCCTTTCACTCTTGCAGCGCAGCTAGCTACCACACTCACCTAGCCTGCTGGTGCGACTTTTGAGAATTCACAAAAGACTCACCTAGAATGCTACTTTCCATCCCAACCTTCACCTCAACTCACCTAAGCGGCTATCTGTCTTGCACGCCCATCCATTGCTGCCTCCTCTGCCTCTGCCTTCACCCAACTCTCACCTCAGTGACCGGAGCTCCCCTCTCTCCATTCACCTCACCTCTCCCCACCCCACCTCCCTTCCCCCTCTCCCTCACCTCAGCGGCTATCTACCTTGCACGCCAATCCATTGCTTCTTCCTCTGCCTCTGCCTTCACACAGCTCTCAAATCAACCCCAATCCGCCCCTCTTCTCCCTTTATCTCAGTTCACCTCAGCGGCTATCTGCCTTGCACAACCGTCCATTGCTGTTTCCTCGGCCTCTGCCTTCACTATTGCAGGGCAGCTAGCTACAGGCCTCACTTCACCCGCTACCAGCCTCTTCCCGCTTCCCTCCACCCACCTCCGCTGCTATCTGCTTTGCAGGACTGTCCGTTGCTGCCTCCTCCGCCTGTGCCTTCACTCCATCCCCCCCACTTAGCCCCTACTCTTGTGGCTTACCTGCTCCCTCTCTTCCTCCCACCTCTTCTCACCTCAGCGGCTATCTGTCTCGCACGACCGTCCATTGCTGCCTCCTCCGCCTCTGCCTTCACACGGCTCTCAAACGCCTGTAGCTGCTCCTCCTCCGTGCGCCTTCTCTTCTCCTGCAATGGATGGAATCAGGGGAGACCCAACAGCTGCATGTAAGCATACTCAGTAGCAGCCTACTCTCTGCCTCTGCCTTCATTCATTCACACGCCTCTCAAACGCCTGTAGCTGCTCCTCCTCTGTGCGCCGCCGTTTCACCTCAGACAGGTGGGTTGCGGTACGGCTATTATTGAAGTGACTTTAGAGTCGATTCAAAAGTCACCTCGTTTTGAGTCGACTCAAAAGTCACCTCAGATAGGTGGGTTGCGGCTATTATTGAATATACGGATGTTACTGCTAACACGTCCAGTAAATTCCCAAGATATTAAAAAAAAAACGACCAGTTTTTTAAGAAGTATCGAAACCGGCATGCCCCCAACTCATCGCACCTCCTCTTGTATTCTCGGCACCATCACAGCTTGCCACTTCTCCTCGAATCGGTCCGAGAGAGCCTGGGCCATGAGGTATACCTGGGGGGGGTGGGATGGGAGGACGAATGGGAGGGTGGGAGGGTGGTTGGGATGGGTGGGTGGATGGGGGGGGGATGGAGGTGGTTTTTGCGTGGACTGTAGAATGAATCCCCGGCGCCACGCCATCACAGAGCCTGGGCCATCACAGAGCCTGGGCCATGGGGTTCACTTGAGGAGGTGGGATGGGAGAGGATGAATCGGAGGGTGGGAGGGTGGATGGGATGGGAGGGTGGATGGGATGGGTGGGTGGATGGGATGGGTGGGTGGATGGGATGGGTGGGTGGATGGGATGGGTGAGTGGATGGGATGGGTGGGTGGATGGGATGGGTGGGTGGATGGGATGGGTGGGTGGATGGGATGGGTGGGTGGATGGGATGGGTGGGTGGATGGGATGGGTGGGTGGATGGGATGGGTGGGTGGATGGGATGGGTGGGTGGATGGGATGGGTGGGTGGATGGGATGGGTGGGTGGATGGGATGGGTGGGTGGATGGGATGGGTGGGTGGATGGGATGGGTGGGTGGATGGGTTGGGTGGGTGGATGGGATGGGTGGGTGGATGGGTTGGGTGGGTGAATGGGATGGGTGGGTGGATGGGTTGGGTGGGTGAATGGGATGGGTGGGTGAATGGGCAAAATGGCATGGATGGGCAAAATGGCATGGATCGGCCAAATGGCATGGATGGGAGAATCGGTGGACAGGACACCTATTCACCACAAACCTTTCTCACTCCTCACAACAACCCCCTTTCACTCCTCTCAGCACCCTCTCATTCCCCCCAACCAACTCTCACTCCAGCCCATTATACATCATCGCACTTGCAAACACCAGCCATGCATACAAGCTACAGTATGCAAGCATGCACTCACCTCACTGACCCCACTCAATCTCATCTCACTCCCCCCAACCACCTCTCACCTCTGAACTTGGTCAATTAACCTTCATCGCATTTGCAAACACCAGCTGCATGTACGCTGCAATCCCGAATCACTCCCATGCACCACCTCCCACTCCTCCCAATGCCCTCTCACTCCTTTCAATCCCCTCTCACCTCCGACCCTGGTCCATTGTACTTCATCGCATTCGCAAACACCAGACGCACATCCCGTGCCACCTCAGTGACGTGACTGTAATGAGGGGGCTGCAATGCAGCACTGATAGCAGCTGCAGCAACAGCACCCGCAGCAGCAGCAGCAGCAGCAGCAGCAGAAGCAGCATCGGATGCAGCGGCTGCTGCACCACCCGTAGGTTCTGCTTCTCCTGCTGCTGCTTCTTTTCCCTCTTCTCCCACTTTTCCCTCGCCTGCCCCGTCTGCACGCGTGGCAGCGAGCGATTGGACGAGGTGGGAGCGGATGGTGCCCAGGTCCATGGGGTGGCTGATGATATCATGGTAGTCGGGCAGACCTAAACTTTCCGCATCCACAGGCTCGGCAAACACCCATCCGAACCTGTGCTTCAGAAGCTGCCAGGTACGGGCAAGAGAAGGTAAGGAAGCAGAGAGGCTCGGTAAACATCCACCCAAACCTGTGCTTCAGTAGCTGCCAGGTAGGAACGGGGGGTGAGATGGCATAAGTGGGGCAACGGGGCATGGGAATTGCACAGCACAGTACCGCACAGCACCACTCACCTGCTTCATAATGCTGCCTGCTCGCTGCAGCATATCAGCCATCCTCTTTGCTCTCACCCGCGCCACCCTCCCCCCATCCTCCCTCACTGCCCGCTTCACCCCCGCCATGCCCAGCCCCCTCTCCCCTCACCACCCATCAGCACCGCACAGCATTGTACAGTACCACACAGTACCGCCCAGCACCATACCGTACCGCACACAACCACTAACCTGCTTCACGATGCTGCCTGCTCGCTGCAGCATATCAGCCATCCTCTTTGCTCTCACCTGCGCCACCCTCCCCCCCTCCTCCCTCACTGCCCGCTTCACCCCCGCCATGCCCAGCCCCCTCTCCCCTCAGCACCGCACAGCACTGTACAGTACCACACAGTACCGCCCAGCACCATACCGTACCGCACACAACCACTAACCTGCTTCACGATGCTGCCTGCTCGCTGCAGCATATCAGCCATCCTCTTTGCTCTCACCCGCGCCACCCTCCCCCCCTCCTCCCTCACTGCCTGCTTCACCCCCGCCATGCCCAGCCCCCTCTCCCCTCACCACCCATCAGCACCGCACAGCACTGTACAGTACCACACAGTATCGCCCAGCACCATACCGTACCGCACACAACCACTAACCTGCTTCACGATGCTGCCTGCCCGCTGCAACATATCAGCCATCCTCTTTGCTCTCACCCTCGCCACCCTCCCCCCCTCCTCCCTCACTGCCCGCTTCACCCCTCCGATGCCCAACCCCCCCAAACCCACTCCCCCGGCGATCCCCCCTCCTCCCCCCGCTGCTGCTGCTGCTATCACAGCATTCATATGCTGCTCGTGAGCCTGCTCATGCTGCTGCTGCTGCTGCTGCTGGTGACCCTGTTTCTGCTGGTGGTGCTGGTTCTGGTGGGTTTGCTGCAGCTGCTGTTGCTTCTTTTTCTCCTGGTGATGCGGCAGCTGCTGCTGCTGCTCCTTCCCTCCCGCTCCCCTGCTCCTCCTCCGCATGTCCCTCAGCTGAGCCAGTGCTGCTGCCTGCCGCTCCAACTGGTACAGGGAAGCGGGGGGGGGAGGAAGCGTGAAGGAGGGGGTTAGCAAGGATTAGGAAGTATCAAGAAGTCTATAGCCCCTCCCGGCTCCCCAGCTCCGTCTCCGCACGTCCCTCAGCTGAGCCAATGCTGCTGCCTGCCGCTCCAACTCGTACAGGGAAGCGGGGGGGGGGGGAGGAAGCGAGAAGGGTTGAGGGGGTTAGCAAGGATTAGGAAGTATCAACAAGTCTATAGCCCCTCCCGGCTCCCTTGCTCCGTCCGCGCATACCCCCCTCCCCCTCCCCCTCTCCCTGCTCCGTCTCCGCACGTCCCTCAGCTGAGCCAATGCTGCTGCCTGCCGCTCCAGCTGGTATAGAATCAGGAAGGGAGGGGGAGGAAGGGGGAATGAGGACTGAGTTGGGGAAGGGAGAGAGCGCTGATGAGGCTATTGCTGATTGGATTACAGGATACGAGCTCAAAGACGTGCATACCCCCCTCCCCTCTCCCTGCTCCGTCTCCGCACGTCACTCAGCTGGGCCAATGCTGCTGCCTGCCGCTCCAAACGGCAGGGAAGAGTTACCGGGACAGGGGGAAGGGAGAAGGGGAATGGAATGAGGGTTGGGAGTTTCAGCCCGTGCACAGACCCTCTCCCTCTCCCTGCTCCTCCTCCGCACGTCCCTCAGGAGCCAATGCTGCCGCCTGCCGCTCCAGATGGCATGGGAAGAGTTGAAGGGGAGGATACGTGGAATTTCAAGGGATAGAATGTAGGTTTCCAATCATAACGCATCTATAAAACAATGATAAGGATGTGGCGAAAACAAGGATGTGTGAAAAGAAAGGAGGTGCGGAAAGCTAAGGATGTGTAAAGAAATAAGGATGTGACAAAAGGTCGTGTCAGAAACATAGGCTGGGAAATATCAAGACGGAGGGGAAAGGATTTTGTGACGCCTCAAAAAAAGGTGTTGATCACATCACATCACATCACATCACATCACATCACATCACATCCCATCACATCACATCACATCACATCACATCACATCACATCACATCACATCACATCACATCACATCACATCACATCCCATCACATCACATCACATCACATCACATCACATCACATCACATCACATCACATCACATCACATCTTCCAGCACAGACGTGACTAGGTATTTTGAGTCGACTCAGAAGTCAGCTTTAAGTCGACTCAAAAGCAGGCCGACTTTGCGCACACAACAATCCTTAAAGCGCCATAAACTCACATCTTCCACCACAGAAGTCAGTTGGTCCAACTTCCTCTTGAGCTCCTTCTTTGACTCCCGCTGCTGTAATGTGTACTTGGCTTCTTGCTGCTGCTGCTGCTGCTGCTGCTGCTGTTGGTTTTGGTGTGGCTGCTGCTGCTGCTGGTTCTGCTGCTGCTGCAACTGCAACTGCTGCTGCTGCTGGCGGTTCTGCTGCTGTAACGGAAGGTCCGATGGGTGCTGCTGTAGCTTATGCCGGTGTTGCAAGGTGTACAATGACTGGTCCGGCTGATGCAATTGCTGCGGCTGCTGATGCTGATGCTGATGCTGAAGTGGGTAGTGAGAATGATACTGCGACTGGTGTTGAGTCTGGTATTGTGACAGCTGCTGAGACGAATAATGCGACAACGGCAGCTGATGCGACTGAATGTGCGACTGAATGTGCGACTGATTGTGCGACTGATTCTGCAACTGTGTGTGATTGCCTCCAATCGTAACCCCCCCTGCACCTGACCCCCCCACTCTCCATTCCTCCACCCCCCCATGCCGTCCGCCACCTGTCCCTGCGCCACGTGGCATATGCTGTAACGTGCCTCGTGGGATGTGGTGCGACGGGCCACGTGGCATCACGCGCTGCGCCGGCTGCGGCGCAGGGGAAGCGGGGGGAGGGGCGGCTAGGCCCGCGGGGTGGGAGGGAGGCGCGGGGGGATGGGGGAGGGCGGAGGAATGCGGGAGTGTGGGGGGATGGGGGCGCGCGGAGCCATAAGCGTGCGCAGGGGGAAGGTGCGCGGACGCAAAGCTGTGCGCGGAGGAGGATGCGTGCGCGGTGGCGGCGGGGGGGTGCGCAGCGGCGGAGCGGTGCGGGGGAAGGTACGTGGAGGAGACCCCTTGAGGCATGTGAGCAGCGGCGGAGGAGAGCGGGGAACGCAATGACGGGCGCGGGGGGTTCGCGGGGAGGGCATCCGCACGGTGATGCGCGGGGAGCGGGCGCGGAGGGGGATGCGGAAGGGGAACGCTTCCCGCTTGATTATTATGCTCCGCCGTGAGGTTGCGGGAGTGAGGAAGGGGCTGGTTACCCGCCGCGCGTTGTGCTGCCATGATGAGGCATGTGAATTACAAGACGTATAATAGCAAATAACAATTAGACTTTCGTGGCTTGGGTTTGCTTTCCTGACCGATTTGCGCCGCGATAGACCAGACGACACCGTAGAAAATTACACTGTCGACCAGCCAGGTTTTTGTTTTTCAAACCCCCATCACAGCATCTGCCGTAACATCGCTAAAAGCGAAACCGCCGTTGCCGGGGATTGAAACTGGATCTTCCGCGAGAAAGGCGGAGATACTGACTATTACTACAACGACATGTCTGGGAAATGTACAACCTCGCCCTCAGGCCGTGTCCAGTTCGATCATTTCGGGATTTTTCGTGTCAACGCACGTATCGAGGTTCAACAAGGCTCGACGCTTAGGGCGTGTCCAGTTTGTTCATTTCGGGGTTTTTAGTACCAACACACGTCTCGAGGTTCAAATTTTTTCACTGTACCTATAAACGAATGCATTGTGAGTTGAGTCCCACCTAACTGTAATTTCAGGAGCGCGGACACGTTCTCCGCCTCGAATCAACAGTGCTCTGATCGGGTTCTAAACGAGGTAACGGTTTCCCTCGTCAATCATAGCTAACGAATTTTTGTGCAGGCGGGGGGGGTGTTGGCGAGCGTAGCGAGCTACTGGCGAAATTGTGCAAGCGATACATGGGGCACTACTGTAGTGGCCATGACGCGGTGCTGTACCCTTGTTCGTGTCTTCGCTGATTCCAGTAACGTGAGTCAGACGACTCGAGGTACGTGCAGGGGGCGTGCCGTTTTGTGAACGAAAGCTGATTGTGTCCGCAGGACACGTTCAATACAGTGTTACAACAAAAAATGTGGTAACTGAGCGGGCTTACGAACAGTAAATGTACGAGCTGGACACCCCCTTACACGTCGAAAGGGTTGCATTGCGTAGAGTGTCAGAAATTCTCTTATAACGTTCAACACATCCATATGAAGAGTTACTCACCTATGAAACAAAAGGCATAACAATGTTAAAATGAAATACAGTACTTCGATCTTTAATAGACGGGATATTATCAGCCACCATACGTCACAACTGTAATGTTTTTTTTAAGTTGAGAAAATAATTGATTTTTGATTGGGAGTATGATATGTTGCGTGGGTATAATAAAATGTGCAAACAAAAGGATACACCAAGATGACCAATAGTGGGTAACGAATCGATGACGAGATAAGAATGGCACATATCTATATCATTTAATTGTCAACAATCAAACTAGCAACAGATTGGAACTTGTAGCAAGAGGAACAAACTTACCGTAATCTCCCGGATAGTAGACCCTAGGGTCTTGTGTAAAATTCATTAAAAAATAGGGGGGGTCTTGTCAACGGCACAAGATTGTTTAATACCCGGGTCTTATTAAATTGATATGATTTTTAAAGGTGTAATCGAGTGCCTCATTGATGAGGATGCTTGACATTTTTTCCCCTGTTGTTTGGGCCGCACATGTGTGCGACTTCTGCGATGTAGCCATATCACACAGGGGAATCAGCTTGTGGCCTTCTCATTGGCCGAAATCGCACGTTACCACATTCCAGCATTGAGATTCGCTTTGTGGCTCGTCAGCGTGCCATCCCACCTTGACACCCTGACACATGCACGGCTCGAGCGCAGGGGCTGCACGATGGCCCGTGCAGCAACCCCTACTGTTCAACGGGAGGCACGTCAATCCTTTCACCCATCACAATCCTTCTCCTCCGCCTGTTTCTTCATCCACGCACGAAACTGATTTCTGCTCGGTAGAGTGGTGCGCTTAGGGCCCGTAGCTCTAGGATGGTCGTCTTAAGATGGCTGGAGGAAGTACTTCGAGCAGTAGCTAGAGGTGTAAGCTATCATTCACGATGGTGACGTCTCCAGATTCAGGGATGTCGCACGCAAGGCGCCCTCGTCCCACTAACGTTAATCGAGCATCGCAAGTACGAGTTTCACCCCGGCCCGTTTTGCCAACAACTTCACCTTCCTCCAGCGATCCTAGCGACAGTTCCCATGGCATTCGCCGACCGCCGCTTCCTAGAGTCGTGATCCCTACTTTTCCGGAGTCTAGTCGCCCGCAAGGCATGAAACGAAGGATTCTAGATGCTGCGCCTCCTTCCCCTCGTCATAGGATGACGAAACGCTCTCGTAACGCGTTCACCGCCAAGGAGAAATTGCACTGGCTGGCCATGTTGGAGTCACAGCCTGACCTCAGCATCCGTGGCTTGGCGAAGCTCGCCAAGGTGCAGCCCAAGCAAATCCGCGAGTGGAGGCGACTCAAGGAGCGTCTCGAGGTCGCCGCTGGTTGTCGCCGACGTCTTAACGGTGGAGGGCGTAGGGCGAAGTGGCTCCTGATGGAGAAAGCGGTTTACCGCCAATTCTTGGCGCACCGTGCCAAAGTGGATCGTCGAGTCATGGGCTGATGTGCCAGAGGAGCTGGTGAAGAAAGCTTTCCTCACCTGCGGCATCTCCAGTGCCGAAGACGGGAGCGAGGATCATCTGATCCTGGCTCACCTGCGGGACAAGGCGGAAGTGGAGGTGCAGGAGGATGTGCTGGACAAGGGGGAGGACGGGGTGAACCCCAACCCGTTCTACGAAGACCCCTCGCACGCCCCTGAGCCCGCCGCTACCAAGGACGATGAGGCAGAGGACGAGGAGGAAGGGCTTGCAGGGGAGGAGGATGTGGTGGATGCTGCTGCCGAGGAAGGGGATGTGATGGCTCCGGAGGAGGAGGGGGATGAGGCAGATGCAGAGATGGGAGGTGCGGACGAGTGGAGTGAGGATGGAGACGACTGGTGGGCAGCAGGCCGCTATGAGGGAGAGGAAGTGGAGGAGTGGGTTGCAGGCGAGGATGAGAGACTATTTTTATGTTGTTCTCACCCCTTGTTGCCCCCTAAATCTCTGAAATGCAAACCGTGAATAGGTTGCATTGGTGTCAAGCTTTTCTTGCTAGTGAAGCACTTGAAAAGACATCTTATTTCCATTATAAACTAGTGACAACCATGAAGGGGGTCTAGTAATGTTTACCCCTCTAGGGGGGGGTATAGTGAAAACCTGCCAAAATAAAAGACCCACCCCCGTAATACAGACCCGGGGGTCTTGTATTCTGGGGGGTCTATTATCCGGGAGCTTACGGTACACTACATAATATATTTTGCTGACTTGGGTGAACAGTATTATCACCCAGCTGGCTAGGGTTTTGTTGCCCTCCCACCCAACCGCTCCTCCCTATGTTGCCCTCGAGGCTTTCTCTCACGCCCTTTCCAACTTTCGCGATATCAATCAAGAAAGTCAACTACCTCAGGTACTAACGAATGCTACCTTGTTAGTGTCTAAGCTGCGCGCCTAGAGCGCTTGTCCTCCCTCGTGCATTACACAATAGCATATAATAGAGCACTCGGCCTTGTGCGTAAGTCGCTGGCGCCGTTGGGCGCGCGCGCCGTTGGCGCTGGCGCCTTTGGGCGCAGGCGCTGGCGCCTTTGCGCGCTGGTGCTTGTGCCTTTGGGCGCTGGCGCTGGTGCCTTTGGGCGCTGGCGCTGGCGCCTTTGCGCGCTGGCGCTGGCGCATGGCGCTGTGGGCGCTGTCGCTAGCGCTGGCGCCTTTGCGCGCTGGTGCTTGCGCCTTTGGGCGCTGGCACCTTTGCGCGCTGGTGCTTGCGCGTTTGGGCGTTGGCGCTGGTGCGTTTTGGCGCAGGCGCTGACTCCTTTGCGCGCTGGCGCTGGCGCATGGCGCCGTGGGCGCTGGCGCTGGCGTGGCGCATTTTGGCGCCGTGGGCGCTGGCGCTGGCGCCTTTGCGCGCTGGTGCTTGCGCGTTTGGGCGCTGGCGCTGGCGCCTTTGCGCGCTGGCGCTGGTGCATGGCGCCGTGGGCGCTGGTGCTGGCGCTGGCGCCTTTGCGCGCTGGTGCTTGCGCGTTTGGGTGCTGGCGCTGGCGCCTTTGCGCGCTGGCGCTGGCGCCTTTGCGCGCTGGCGCTGGCGCCTTTGCGCGCTGGCGCTGGCGCCTTTGCGCGCTGGCGTTGGCGCCTTTGCACGCTGGCGCTGGCGCATGGCGCCGTGGGCACTGGCGCTTTTGCGCGCTGGCGTCGTGGGCGCTGTCGTCGTCTGCACTGGCAGCGTAGGCGATGACGCTGTGGGCGCTTAGAACCTAGGGCGATGTCCCAAGAGCGCTCGTGCCTAAGGCGCTGCGGCGTAGGCCGATGGCGCCTTGGGTGTTCTCTAGCGCCAAGCCCGCCGGCCTTGTATTCGTTGGTTTGGCACTATGCGGTTTCCCTCGCGTTCTAGTGCAAAGCGCGAAATCATCGTATGCACATGCCTTGCATTTGCTGATATCACGCGCACATGCTCATAACTATCACCCTCCCCTTTCCCGCCCGTTCCCGACACTCGCCGTCGAGAGATTTCACATGCGAGGGCTCTTATCGGCGGCGGAAGCAGCAACGCTGTGTGCGAGCATCGTCGGCACAGGTGAGCGAAAAGGGTTAGAGGAGTGGAGATAGCGAGAGGGAGAGAAATAGGGTGAATGGTGAGTAAGAGAGAGGGAGAGTTAGAGAAAGAGCGATAGAGAGAGAAGGAAAGGGCAGGGGTTGGTTGAGTTTTAGAGAAGTACGGAGGCTGAGATCTGTAAGAAAAGAATGTTTGCGCATTGTGACCTATTGTGAGTGGCTTCTAAGATGCTTGGCTGAAACACGCTTTCGTAGTGTGATGCACTTGTGTTTTGTGAGCTAGCGCCACCTGCTTGTTGGTGTTTAGTGCGCTTACTGTGAAATTCGAAACCTATGGCTTTGCTGTAGCCTGGTGCCGTGGGCACAGGAGCCCTGTGCCCTTGCGCCTTTGGCGCGGACCCCGTGGGCGCTGGATCCTTAGGCGTTTGGCTTAGGGCGCTGGGGCCTTGGGCTTGAGCGCCATGAGTGCTGGCCCCAAAGGCGCTTGCGCCGTTGGCGCGGGCGCCGTAGGTGTTAGCGCTCAACGCCCTTGCCCTTATGGCGCGAAACAGAGACGGGAGGGTCGAATAAAATAGGGGATATTGGAAGGGAGGGGGGGATGGGAGACAAGGAAGGGAGGGAGGGGAATCTGGGACAGATTAACGATTATTTATACAGGCTGGGCTCATTCGTTACGCTTGCATTGCATGTTCAATAGCGGTAATAAGCTTTTGTGTATGTATGCGTGTGCGTGTAGGTGTGTGTGTGTGTAGGTGAGTGTGTGTGAGTGAGCTTGCATGTGTCTGTCCATACATGTTGGTGTTGTTTGTGTCTGTTTCGGGGATTGGTGTTGAGTGCCTCGTGTATGCAACTGGGGTTGTGATCGTCGGTGGGGCAGCTTTGCTCGCCCCTTCCGCACCATATCAACCTCTGTTGCATCATCGATGCATTTAGCATTCGCCTTGAAGCATTCACAACTGTTTAGTGTTCAGCGTTTTTGTGCAAGTTTGTGTGTTGTCATTTGTGTCTATTTCGGGGATTGGTGTTGAGTGCCTCGTGTATGCAACTGGGGTTGTGATCGTCGGTGGGGCAGCTTTGCTCGCCCCTTCCGCACCATATCAACCTCTGTTGCATCATCATCGATGCATTTAGCATTAGCCTTGACACATTCTTGATTGTCAAACGCTTTTTAGCAAGTTCGTGTGCGGTCAGGTAGTTTGTGTCTGTTTCGGAGTGTGTCGAATGCATCGTGTGTGTGCTTTCAGATCGTCATGCTGATTTGTTTTTTTGTTTGTTTTTTTGTTTCGTCATTCGTACGGAGAGATTGTCCAATTATTCCATTCGCCGTACTTATCGACGATTATGGATGATTGGACACATTTGGTTTCACTTGTAGGGTAACTTATGTGAACAGTGTTTTGTTCCAAAATCTTGGAGGGTTATCACTGTTCACATCAGCCAACCTAAAAGTGACAACGAATGTATAAGGTTGCTACGCAACCCAAAAATGACTACCGTACCTAGAAACGAATGCATTGTGAGTGGAGTCCAACCATCCTGTAATTTCAGAAGCGCGGACACATTCCCCGCCACACGAATCAATAGTGCTCTGACCACGTTGAAAACGAGGTAACAGTTTCCCTCGTCAATCATAGCTTGAAAATTTTTGTGCAGGCGCAGGGGGCGCTGGCGAGTAGAGCGAACCACTGACGAAATTGTGCAAGCGATACAAGGGAAACGAACTGTAGTGGCCAGGACGCGGTGCTGTACCAATGTTCGCGTCCCTGCTGATTCCAGTATCGTGAGTCAGACGACTCTAGGTACGTGCATGGGGCGTGCCGTCTTGCGAACAGAAGCTGATTGTGTCCGCTGGACACGTTCAATAAAGGGTTACCACAAAAAATGTGGTAACTGAGGGGTTTACGAACAGTAAATGTACGAGCTGGACCCCCCCTTACACTACATCTGCTGCAATGTTTTTATCTTCTCCGTTTTCTTCCTAATCCATCGCCAGCGGAGGTCACTTCCCAGTCGCGCCCATCACACGCACGTGCTCGGATATCCCCTTCTCGGCTCTGTAAGGTGCCAACGACCTCGGTGAAGCTTCTGTACAGCGATAACCTGAGTTCACTAAAGCATCGGTACAAACAGCCTTCGTTATATGCACATATGGCGACATACGGCACGCGAGCGGGGCTAGGAGGCTCCGGGATTTCCGGGGGAGGCGGAGCGTCTGAAATCCCTCTATGGCAGGGCGATGCGGAGAGAGAACAGTACGAGAGTTTCGCTGATTTGTACGCGATTATAAAGACTACTGAGAAGCTCGAAAAGGCGTACGTCCGCGATTTGATCTCCCCCGCGGATTACGAGCCCGCTTGCGCGAAGCTGATTGGCCAATTCCGGACGCTTCGCACCGCGCTGCAAGGCGCCGTGCCCGACATAGAGCGATTCATGACAACGTACAAGATGGACTGTCCTGCAGCGAAGAACCGTCTCCTGGTGGCTGGGGTTCCGGCAACGGTGGAGCATAAATCTGCAACGGTGGAGAGCGGTAGTGCGACTGTAGCGGTGGCTGAGACGGTGCAGCACTTCATAACGGCCATGGATACTGTCAAGCTCAATATGCTCGCGGTAGATCAGGTAAACACTAAACACTCCCATATTGCCCTAATCAGGTGAGCATTGAAATTTCTGAGTCATGGCCCCACACTCCCCTCCTGCCCCCCAGCTCACCACCCCCGCTTCACCCGCTCCTCTTACTCCCCCGAAGCTCTCTCTGCCCATCAATGTGCTCTCCATTTCCCTTGCCCCACACTCCCTTTCTTCCCGCTACCTCCACCCCATCCCCTCTTTTTTTCCGCACCCCCTTCCACCCACTCAACTCAACCCCCCCCCCAGGTGCACCTGCTGCATCCCTTGCTCCTCAATTCCCTCGGCAAAGTGTTATCTCTTCTTATTATAGAGCTTTCCGAGTTGACTTTTGAGTCGACTCAAAAGTCAATTCCCTCGGCAAAGTGTTATCTCTTCTTATTACAGAGCTTCCCGCTCCCTTCCTGCCTTCCTCTCTACCCTCCTCCTCCCCCCAGGTCCATCCGCTGCTCTCACTGCTCCACAACTCCCTCTGCAGCGTGCCGTCATTACCAGCAGAGTATGAGGGTCGCACCAAGGTCAGGGACTGGCTCGTGCGCCTCAACGGCATGGCTGCTGCCAATTCATTTGCTGTTCCCCCTTTTTTCCCTCCCTACCCTACCCTCCCCTCCCCACCCCCAGGTGCACCCGCTCCTCTCCCTGCTGCTCAACTCCCTCTGCAGCGTGCCATCTTTACCAGCCGAGTTCAAGGGTCGCACCAAGGTCAGGGACTGGTCACTGGCTCATGCGACTCAATGGCATGGCTCTTTCTCTTTTTCCCTGTCCCCGTTCTTCCCTCCCTCCCCATCCCCAGGTGCATCCGTTGCTCTCTCTGCTGCTCAACTCCCTCTGCAGCGTGCCATCTTTACCAGCCGAGTTTGAGGGTCGCACCAAGGTCAGGGACTGGTCACTGGCTCGTGCGACTCAATGGCATGGCTGCTAGCGACTCATTTTTGCTGTTTCTTCCTTTCCCCTCCACCCCCCCACCCCTCTCTTCCAGGTGCACCCGCTGCCATCCCTGCTCCTCAACTCCCTCTGCTGCATGCCCTCTCTTCTTACCAACAAGCTTCTGCTTTTCGTCCCTCCTCCTTCCCACCCGCCACTGCCCACCTCTCTCTGCCCACCCCTCTCCCCATGTACACCCGCTGCTCTCTCTCCTCCTCAACTCCCTCTGCAGCGTGCTGTCGTTACCAGCCGAGCTCGAGACTTTCTGTTCTCTCATGTCTCATTCCCCTTTCCCGCTTCTCCCCTTCCCCTCCCCCTGCCGTTCCCCCCTTCCCCAGGTGCACCCGCTGCTCTCTCTGCTCCTCAACTCCCTCTGCAGCGTGCCATCTTTACCAGCCGAGTTTGAGGGTCGCACCAAGGTCAGGGACTGGCTCGTGCGCCTCAACAGCATGGCTGCTAGTGACGAGCTGTCGGAAGAGCAGGCGCGGCAATTGAGTTTTGACCTTGAGTCGTCGTACTCTGTGTTCATGCAATCACTTGGAATAAAAAACTGATACCTGGCCTGTACAGTTATGTGTACAAAAGCAAGCGCCAAACAACTGGAGTAGGTGTTTTGTTGTGTACAGTGCAATATTCCTTTGTTGAACATGTTGTGTCTGGACACCTTGATTTGATGTTAGAGATAGGATGGAAGGAGCTTATTAAAAACCTTGATACGGTACAACAGACAATACTACATATGGGAAGGATGAGAGCCCTGAGGTAGAGTTCTACACCTCTTCCCATATGGAAACACTGTAGAATGCATCCATCTCGAAATTCTCACATCACAAACCTTAGAAACCCTTTCTATAGCCTCCCAGCCGAACCATTTAAGGGAAAATCAAATCAAGCCCTCGTAATGAACCTAAAAACAAAGCACAAATGAAACGCAAGCACACCTTTTCAAGGTGCACCCACATACACACATCATCTTCCCCTTCCCCCATCCCACCCTTCCCCACTCTTCCCCTCCTCCTCCCCTTTCTCTCCACCTCCTCCCCCTTCCCTCTCATTTACAACGAGTTCTCGCTTCAAGGACCAACTCTGTGATTCGTTCGGGTCTCCCAAACCTCGATCGAACCTAGCCCCGAACCTCCTGGCCTCT